AAGTGTTGGCAACTAGATTTCACTGTCACTTTCATGGAAGGGTTCTGGCTGGCTTGCTGGTGTTTTGCTGCTATATGTTGCACTTTCTGGGCTGGGCTGGGCTCCTGAACACAGACCACCTGCACCAGTCATAGCTAAGCTGGGTACCGCTGGGGCAGGATTCCCCAAGGAAGAGGTGGTCAGCACCTAAACAGTTGTACATCGGGATTAGGAAGCGACTGAAGACTTGCCCTCTCCAAAGGACCAAGGCTTCTGACAGGAAGCCTGGGGCAGGTGGGGCAGTGCTGCCTGGAGGGCTCTTGGGCAGACTGGAAGCAAAGAGCAGACATGCAAGGGAAAGCCCCACTGCTGGACATGGGGCCACCAGAACCGAACCTGCCGCCACCTGCGTACCACAGAGCCATCTGACAGCCAGGCTGGGCTGCTGCTGGAGCTGCTTGTCTTCGCTACACCTAAACCCCTTGCCCTGGGGGTCCCAGCACAGGACCCCCTGTGCAGTGGGGCTCACGATGGCTCAGCAGAAGCTGGGCCCACTCACCCTGCCAGGAGCCACGCAGGCACCACAAAGAGTGTGTGTAAGGTGGTACAGACACCCCCACATGCCTTGAAGGCGGCTGGAGCGTTCATCACATGGCCCTGTGTCGCCCAGCAGCAAGGAAACTTGAGAACAAAGGTGCGGCCATGCACAGGGCTCTCTGGCTAAAGCAGAAACTAGACCAGCAGTCATCGGTGCCATGAAGATGGGTCGGAGCGAGTTGCTGGTGTTTAAATTTGGACAAGTCCCTAACCCTTTAGAAGGGTATGGAAATCGGTTCTCTGAACCCAAGCAAAGCCTTTGTCTTCAGCAAAGCACTGCCAGGCATGCACTGTGAGGCGTGGGGGAAGGTGGGAAGGGTCCCGCCACTAAATGCAGGGTGGGCATAGAAGCCAGGGCTTTGCTCCCCAGCCCACAGCCACGGGACAGCCACCTGAAACGTGGTCACCTGCTCCCTGAACATCCCTCAGTCTGAGATGACTTCCTGCCCATCAAAAGATTGTTTCCAGGGCCAGGGATTTAGCTCAGTGGTTTCGCCACCTGCTGCTCAAGGGCAAGGACCACAGTTGGATCTTGGTACCAAAAAGAAAAAAAGATGATTTCCAGAGCTGGGAGTGTAGCTCAGCAAGAGATTGCTTGCCCAGCATGTGGGCAGGCCTAGGGTCAGGCTCCAGCAGTGTTGTTTCCTTTTCACCTGTGGAAAGGAAATTAACTTAAAATACCAGCTCTTCAGGGCACACTAGGAGACCTGCTAAGTACCAGGCTGGCTCAAATAGTGCAGAGTAAGGAGCCAGCCAGGCAATTGGAGACTTCATAAGCTGCTGTTAGGGGGAGCGGCCCCACCTATGAGAAGTCTAGACTGTTAGCAACAGTCAGGAGCAGTGAAATGAGCCAGGACTTCGAGTCGACTGGCCCAAAGCCAGTCTTGTCCTCTTTCGACCTCAGTTTCCCCATGCAGGAGGTGGCTGCTGGGCTCCCACGAGCTGGGACACAGGACTTTGAAAACACCGTTGAAAGACTTGAGGGCTGTGGGTGGGGCTCGGAGGTAGAGGGCTTACTTAGCATGCACAAGGCCCTAAGTTTGATTGATCTTCAGCACTGCAAAAAAAAAAAAAATTATTTTGGCTTATGTAAGTAATACATGTTAACTATGGGCAATTTGGAAAATGAAGTATAAAGAAGGAAATCACCTGTTACCCCACCACCCACAGCAACGACTGTTCTGGGTTTTTTCCATACATATTCTGTGTGGGATCTCAGGGTACAAGCTGTTTTATAACCTGTTTTTCCTTGTTGGCTTGCTCAGCCTGTCACCCTCTCAGTAGTCCCCACCTCATGGGCCCCAAGGACGGGTGGGATTTGCCAGCCTTCTTTTGTTGGCAAACAGTCCTGACCAGTTCTTGCCTGTTCTAAGTACTCGAATCTCTTAATTACTTCCGTGGGGCACTCAGATGTCACATGTCTAGAGACACGTCTGATGGTCACAAGGTGAGGGGTGGCAAGCGCTGCTGGCCATCGTGCTTGAAGCCCGAGGATGCTGCTGAAGGTCCCGCAGCACACAGGGCACCCCCACCACAACTGCCAGGCCCCACCGGTGTCCATGCCTCGGTTGAAGCCCTGTCCATTAGCATCATTCCGAGTGAGGCCCCTCCACCAGAAGCCCCCTGCACACAGGGCCTTCTTGCCTGTGCCACCCCTGGCAGGGTGGGGTTCTTGATTTGAATGCACCCACTTAAGTCTGAATCCCGAGGGAAGGCAGAGTTGTCTGGAAAGGTTTGAGGTCCGCTGAGCACAGGCAGGTGGCACTGCTGTCCCTGAGTGGGGGCGTGAGAAGCCCTCCCTCCTCCCAAACATTAACACAGCTTCCAAAAGCACACAAAACCCAGCACGGTAAGAGCAGAAGCGAAAATCAGTCATGGGAGAACCATGGGCAGAAAAACCAGGGGCCCAGAACAGCCACTGCAGTTCTGAGCAGCAGCCAAGGAGTCTGGGTGCTGGTCCTACCTGCAGCCATCGTTCCCAGGGCCTCAGGACAGCAGACCCCCAGCCACACTCCGGGCTCCGTGGCAGCTGGGAAGCAAGTCCGGGCCCAGAACCTCACTGCCTGGGAAAGAAGCACCCTCCCCTCCCCTGAGCCAGGCCCTGCCTCACAGGCTTTCAGGGAAGTGCAGAGGCCTGTGCAAGTTGCAGACCTTGAGGCTTCATCTTGTTGCACCCTTGTGGTTCTGGGCATGCCTAGCCCAAGAGGGCAGACAAAAAGAGGGGGTGTTGGGGCCCTGAAAAGGGGACCAGGCCCCAGCACTGTGCCCACTCGGGTCAGCACTGCCCCAATCCAGCTCTGTCATGGCTTGTGTCTCAATGTCCCCTAAAGCCTCCTGAGGTCATGTGGGCCTTTTTTGGAGGTGGCTGGATCTAGGGTGTGTGGTGCCTGGGATTAAGGGTGTGTAATTATGGAATCAGCCCACTGGCTGGTTTGGCACCACCCTAAACCCAGTAGCTGGTATAGAATGTAAAAGGGGCAGAAAGAAGCTGCTAAGGTTGCTTGCTGCCTTCTGCCCACCATGAACTGTTTCTGCGATGCCTCTCTGCCATGCAATGCTGCCTTGGAGCCAGCAGATTATGGACTAAAACTTCTAAAAACTGCAAACCAAATAAACCTTTCTTCCTTTAACTTTGGATATCATATGTTTTGTCTCAGCAACAAGAAAAGTAACAGGCAGGCTCTGAGGGGGCCTGACCAGCAGAGGGGTCTTCTGCTCTCCCCTGAGCCCCGGGCTCCCCAGTGGGAGAGCAGCATGGGCATCAGTTTCAAGAGAGCACAGGGAGGCAGGTGGACCAGAAAACCCTCACCTCACTGCAGGCCACATGTCCCCCTTCCATTTTTAGCCCCCCAGTAGTGTGGATGGAACCTGGACCCTTTGCCCTGAGCTACATCCTCAGCCCTTTTTTATTTTTTGAGACAGTATGTCACTAACTTGCCCAGGCTGAGCTTTTACTTGTAACCCTTCCTCAGCCTTCCAGAGCACACCACCACACCCAGCTCCTTTCCAGCATTCTGGGAAGTGGGGTAATTTTATTTTTTTTTGTTTTGTTTTGTTTGGTCCCAGGGATTGAACTCTGGTCCTTGCACTTGTGAGGCAGGTGGTGGAACCACTGAGCTAGATCCCCGGCCCCATTGCAGCATTCTGATGGTGCTACTCACAGGGAGCCTCGTGGCAGTGACATCAGAAAAGAAGTGCTTGGCCAGCCATGTCCCCACTGCGCCTGCTGTCCCTCCTCTGTCTCAGCCTCCCTTCCAGAGTGGTTCACTTCCTGTCCTCACATGGGGTGGCTCCAGAGGCCGATTTCCCAAACAGCCTCTCTGCCCTGAGTCACCACTGTAAAATCAACAGTGGCTGGAGGAGGACAAGCTGAGGAGGAGCTGGCTTCCATCCTGGCCGGCCTGGGGACTCCCAGGCAAAAGGGCAAGTTGGGAATGGGGAGCCAGGGAGGGGCACGCAAAGGCCCCTGAGAGCTGCCCAAGCCTGGCGCCACCTCGGTACACCCTTCGGATGGATCCTGGCCCCTTTTCCATGACAGGATGCACCCCCAGCTCAGAGCCATCGCTGCCCCCGCCTTTGGCCCTGAGCCTGGGATCTGTGCTGACATGTTCCCAGGTCCCAAGACATGCAAGTGCATCAACTCCTATCATGAACTGGCAAGGATGTGGTGGGCATGGGCTTGGGCTGAGAGGCACATGGGGCACGGGTGGCTCAGGCTGATCCCAGGGCGGGTGGAGAGGGCCTTGGCCAGCAGGTGGCAGCACAGACTGCTGCCAGAGGCAGGCAGCTGTAGCGGGTGGGGAGGAGTCCCAGCTCCTGTCTGCCAGGGTCCCAACTCTGCACCCAAACCTGTAAAGGCTGCTGGAAACAGGTGAGGAACGGGACCCAAGCCAGGAAGAGCGCGCCCTAAACTGCCAACCCCCCTCTTGCCCCAGGGTCCCTGAGAGGCTGTGAATGAAGGTCAGGACCAGAGGTGCCTGCTGTTAGGAGGGGCTGGAGAGCTGGGCCTGGGAGGGGCCGGGCAAGCCTGAGGAGCCAGGAGGGAAGGAAGCCGGGACAGATGATTTAGGAGGTAAGTAGCTGCTGGGGAGCAAAGTGGAGGGGAGCCAGGAAGATGCCTGGGACTGGAAGCTATCAAGTTTCTGGGCCCACGCCACGCCATCGGGGGCCTCTCACCCTGCGGATGGGGCTGAGGACAGTGCCAGGCTCCACCCCCAGGCCCAAATGCCTTTAGATGCTCAGGCTGGAACTCAGAGCCTCAGAGCTAGCTTGCTCCCTCTCCTGCCCCTTCCCTCAGATGACAAGGGGGTGGACAGGGCAACGCAGGTACAGGGGTGACCCCTGCCACAGTCCTGTCTCCTAGGCAGTGAGGTGGAGGCCCCTGGCAGGCTTCTCAGGGGAAGGAGAGGCACCACTCCGACACAGCACAGGCCAAAACCCTAGTTTATTTCAGCATCAGCAACAGCTCAGCCATCAAAAAAATAAACTCTACCCAGGGCGATGGAAGTCTCTACAGCGAGCTAAGGGGCTCAGCCGCCAGATGGCGGACATCAGGGGCGCATGGCGGGCACTGCCCGGGCAATAAGTTAGGAAGCAGCAGGCTTGGGGGCGGGGTGGCCCAGGCTTCACTTCTGGGCGGGCATGAGGTCGTCGATGGCTTGGCCCTGCTCCAGCCGCTGCTCCATCTCGATGAGCAGTTTCACCCCATCCACCACCATCTGTACCAGCTCCACCTCCGAGAAGCCCAGGCGGTCAGCGTTGGAGACATCGAAGACCCCGCCTACGGCAGCTGTGTCCACACCGCCTGCAGATGGAGGGCCGGTCAGGTCAGCAGGCCAGAGGGTACGTGCTGGGTGAGGAGCGGCCGCCACCACCACCCGCCTCTCACCTGTGCCTCGCTTCTGCAGCCGAAGCCGCTTGAGCACCTCAGGGAACTTCTCATGCTTGCCCAGGTGGGGCAGCTTGATGTGCACGCCTGCCCGCAGCCCAGTGCCCAGGTTGGACGGGCAGGTAAGGATGTAGCCTAGGTGCGGGTTCCACATGAACTCGTAGTTCTTAGACTTGAAGAGAGTTTCGATCTGTGGGTGCAGAAGGGGTGTGAGAGGGGAGGCCCGGGAGACCAGGGCACCCTCATCCCACCTGAGCTCTGGAGCTGGCACCCCGGGCTGACCTGGGTGAGGCCTGTGCAGAACCGGGTGAACACCTCCTTCATGTTGCCCCCTTTCTGCATGGAGATGACCCGCAGGTGGTCCTCCTCGTTGACCCACACCAGGAAGGTCTTATTGTCATTGTGCCTGGGGGAGCGGACAGGAAGGCCAAGGTTCCAGTGTGGTACTGGGAATTGAACCCGGGCCTCACCAAGATAAGCAAGGATCTACTACTGAGCTAAACTCTAGGGCCCCCTCAGGAATTTAGTCTCCCACCCAGCACAAAATCACTCCAGACCCAAGGAACTAGGGAACGTGGCAGGTCTAGAGGCGCCCTGCAGGGGACTGCCACCAAGACCCCAGCCCCGTCAGCACTGGGGAAGGCAGGGTGACCGGGACACCTCACACCAGCGCACCGCAACGTGCCAGTCGTGTGCCGATGGCCCGAGCGCCCAGGTCCCCACTTAGGAGGCCAGCCCCTGGGCGAAGGGGCCCTGCGGGGGGGACTCAGGGGAGCGTTCTGCGTCACGGGCATCTGGCAGGATCCCGGGGGAGGGGGTGAAAAGCCGAGAGAGAGAAAACAGGCTCGGCTCCCAGAAGAGAGTGGAGGAGACGCCAAGGAGACAGATCCAAGGGGACCCTTTCGGAGACAGAGGAGGCTGCGCGGCCAAGGTCGCCTGCACAGCGGGGCCCCGCCGGCCTTCCCCGGGGCGGGGCATGACGGGAGGGCGCCCGCGGGCGTGCGGGGTCCCAGGGCCGCACCAGATGCCGCGGGCGTCGGGCCAGTCACGGGCCATGCCGGAGGCCAGCAGCAGCGGCGACACGGGCTTGTCGAAGAGGAAGTGGTCGTCGATGAGCTGCTGCTGCTCCGCCTCGGTCATGCTCTTGAGCGCGTAGTACCTGCCGGCCAGGTCGCCGTCCAGGCTGGACAGGGCTGTGGGGGACGCTCAGAGCTCGTGGGGCCGGGCCAGGGCCGCCGCCACCACCCACCCCGGCGGAGTCGGCTCATCCCGGGGCCGGCCCCCGCGGACGGCCGCGGACGGCGCGGATCCGGATCCCATGAGCGCGGCCCGGCGGGCCCCGCACGCCCTACCTTCCACCGCCAGCTTCTCGATGGCCCGGCGCTCCCCGCGGCTGCAGTGCGGGGGCAGGCAGAAGCCGCGGATGCTGCGGCCGGTGCGCACCCGCGAGCTGAGCACGTAGCTGGGGTCCAGGTCGTCGCCGCCCTGGGGACGGGGGGGGGGGGGGGGGGGGGGG